GTCCTGCAGTATAGCACAGGGGACTATATTCAATAGTTTGTAATAACCTATAAGGAAAAAAATTTTTTTAATGTATATATATGTGTGAATCACTATGCTGTACACCAGAAACTTACACAATGTTGTAAATCAACTATACTTCAATTCAAAAAAAATTAAAGGATGGGTCCAAAAAAAAGTATCAGTATGAACTCATGGTTTTAAGTATGTAAACAAATGGATAGATACAGAAATAGACACACGTTAAATACATAAACATACGTTTCCTAGCTCTGCTCATGAGAGAACCTAGAGGCTGTGACACTCCACTAGCAATGGAAGCTAGCATCCAGATCTTGATTCCTGAATATTATTCTCCAATAAACAACCAGGGCTGCTTGATTCCAGAGTTGTGACAAGAACAAGACAGGCCTGTAGCATCCTGTGGAGCCACAAGGTAAGGAAGTGATCAGAAAGGAAGGAAACATGTCAGAAGGAGCCAGGAACCAAACTGGAGTTTTCAGTGACCAAAGCTGGGACAATCTGAACAACAAAAATAATAATACTCTTACATTACAACCAATGGAATAAAACAAGTATCTGTTAGTCCATACTGATACGTAAGAAGGGACATACCTCCTTAGCATATAATTCCAGTTAATAAATGTGGAAGAAATATTGGAAATAGAAAATCATTATTTGACAAACGTTGCACTCCTGATTATTGTGGGCGCACACTAACGACGGTTACTGAAATCAACGGGTGAAAGAATGATAAGCAGAAAAGGACATTTTCGTGGTCTTAGAGTATTTCCCCACAAGGTACTTAACATTGATGAAACCTAGCCAGCACCACCTTAACCAAGCAATCAGCGTTAACATCACCGGTAATCAGACACCCAGACCCTGTAATGTGATCCCCTGAAAGAGACACAACTTTGTTTCTGGGGTATCTCTTCCTACCAGAAAAGTATAACTCACTCTAATGATGGCAAAAAAATAAAAAAGCCAAATTCAAATTGGGAGACATTCTGTAGAGTACCTGACCAGTACTCTTCCAAGTCTCAAGGTCAGAAAAGATGAAAAGTTGAGAAACTTACCGAGGGAAGGAGACTAAGGAGGCATGACAGCTGGATCCAGCCCAGCTGTCCTAGAACTGGGTTTAAGCCAGGAAAAGGTGTTAGTGGGAACTCTGGTAGATTGGATAAGGTCTGTAGATGCAGGGTACAGTGTCAACATTAATTTCTTTGGATAATGGTACTGTTACCACATAAAATGTTATTGGAAGCTAGATGGAGGGTATATGGGAACCCTGCACTGTTTTTGCAACTTTTCTGCAAGATTAAAATTACTTCACAACAAAAGTTTAATAAGTAAGTAAACTCTGAAAGCGTGGAATGGGAAAGACCATCCTGTGGAATGTCAGCTGACCCAGGAGGAAGTCAGCATTCACCAGCCATCTGCTACTGCCAGCTCCTCACTGATCTCTCAGTCGTTAAACTCCCCCACAGTTGGGGCACATCACTGACAGACCCAGTTCCTTACAAAGAAAACACTCTGACCATGTCACAATCTCTTAAAAATTATTTTGGATACCAGCTTCTCATTATGGGGCCAAGGCTCCTGTCAGCCTGGATCCAGATTACCTGGCTCCATCACTTACCGCTCACACCGCAGTACGTAGTTCTTCCGGGGACCCCTGAGCGTCGCTGGCTTCAGAATTGTCATAGTGTATGGATATGCAGAAAGTTTTATTCACTAGGAGAGTTCCATGTATATGACCTTTTTTTTTTTTTTAAGAGAAGAAATGCTTGGGTTAGAGAGTCTAAGCCAGGGTGTTGAAAAGATGGTCCTTGAACTGCTGGGCATAAGATAATCAGAGGACTTTATGTGCTTCTCAAAGGGAAGAGAGGGAGAGTAGTGATTCAAGTAGTGGGGAATAAAAGGATGGTGGAGGTAACACAGCTAGTTTCCCCTGCGTTTGAGGGAAGAGAGGGAGGGAGAAAAGTCCGTGAAAGCAGCACAGCCAGGAAGAGGGACGTTGAAGAACAAAATACCTAAAGGATTTTCTCAGTTGTGTGCTATTTGATGGTTGATTAAACCCTCTCATTTCTCTCTCTGACGGATAGAAGCCTTTAACAATAAAAGAACTCTGTCTAGTTAGATAAAGCTTTGCCTCTCTTGGGGAGAGTCTTCCTCATTTACTCCAGATCTTTGAGAGTAACAGTTTCAGCAGCCATTCACTGCATCTCCGTCAAGGATCATACTTTTCAAAGCACTAGCACTACGCCTCTACGTACATGCGATACCGGGTATGATGTTCAGTAGAGTTCTGAATCCCCAGAGAGCTCTGAGGGCCTGCGGTGAGGCCTCATGGTAGAGTCATCGGCATGCTTGTTTCCCCAAGTCTTTCATCCACAGGAGCCATATAGTATCCAAGGCAGAAACCAAGATCCTGAAAGGAGACTTGGAGGAACTATGAAGACTCAACCGCTGGGCAGAGGGTGCTTGGCACAGTGGGGAGGCTTGTTGAGCAAGGGAGAGGTGAGGTCAAGCTTTTCACAGGGGAGGTAGACCAGGAAGGGGGCGTGTAGGCCATTGTAAGGACTTTGAGGACTTCGGCTTTGACTCAGGATGAGTTGGGAACCACTGGAGACTTTTGAGTGAAGAGGTAACACAAGTCATCGTACATTTTAAAGGATCCTTCTGGCTGCATATTGGGAATAACTGTAGAGGGGCAAGGGCAGAAGCAAGAAGGCCAGTTAGGATGCTACTGCAAAAGCGGGGCCGGAGATATTAGGTGGCGTTAGTACTGGAGGGTGGGTATTCGTTCTGGAGATGGTAATGAGTAGTTGAGTACTGGATGTATTTTGATGATAGAAACAAATAGTATTTCCTGATGGACTGCATTTGGGGTGTGAGAGAAAGAGTCAGAGGCTAAAGGATTTGCCCGAATACGTAGAAAGATGGAGGTGCCATTAACCAAGGATGCAGGAGTTACTGTTCGAGGGGTGACGGCAGTCAGATACTCAGATTTGATACCGTGAGCTCAATAGGGTTGTTGTTCAACATCCAGCTAGAAAGACATCAAATCAGCAGTTGAATATATGAGTCTGGAATTCAGGGGACTGGGGGTCTGGGCTGGATGTATGAATTTGGGGGTTTTAAAGTCATGATACTGATGAGGTATCTTGACATGCGAGTGTAAATTAGAGAAGAAAGCCAAGGACTAACCAGGGCACTCCAATATTCAGAGTTAGGCAGTTAGCTTGCGGGGATGAGGCACTATTCGAAGGAGACCGATAAAGAGTGGCCAGTGAGATAGGAGGAGAACCAAGAGAGACTGGTGTCCTGGAAGTCAAATAAAAACATGTAGAGAGAGTCATCCCCTGTGTCAGATATCATCATGTCAAGAAATTTGAGGACTGGGAATTCATCCCTGAGCTTAGTGGGGATGAAAGTCTGTTTGGTAATAAGGGTCCAAGACACTGAAAGGAGAATGAATTGGAGACATCTAGGATAGACTCTTCTGGGGAGCTTTTCTATAAAGGAGAGCAGGGAAATTGGGTAGCTGCTAAGAGATCGTGTTTGGTTTGGTTTGTTCTCCCTTAGGAGAAATTACGGCGAGTCTATGTACTACCAGGACTGATCCAGTGGAGGGAAGATTCTGTGATGCAGAGGAATGAGGCTGAAGAAATGTTCCTGTGGAGGCAACACGAAACAAGATCTAATACATAGATTGTAGGGGTTGGCCTTGGAACTGTTGATTGACCATAGTAATAGGAGGGAAGAAAAATATACCAGTATCGATGAAGAGTAGATAGCCAGATATGGTGGGCAGGAAATGTGGAATTTCTCAGTGAAATAGGAAGCAAAGTCAATAGGAATCAAATTGTGTCAAAATAATTGTGTTGCAAGTGTCTATGATAAATGCTTCCTATATATACATTGTTCTGTTGCTCAAGTAGCTTAGTCATCAACCTTCAACATTAGAACGGTTTCAGAGAACACTGGTAATGGGTTTGGCTCTCCTGTGAGCCAGTTACATTTACCCCGTTAAAACAGGCAATGAATCGTAGCCGTAGGCTCAGTCAGCTGTCTTGAAAATCCTGCCTTTGGTCATTAGGCAGATGAATCAGAGAAAACCCACCAACACTGGGGGAAAATGATTTAGCCATGATGCCCATTCTGATGCCCTGTCCCTGATTGCATCTTCCAACAGAAATGGCCACACAGAGCTACCGGTTATACAGTTTGTTTTGTTTTCATGTTCCATGGAATTATACAAAGCAACATTTCCCCGTCAGCAACTCTGCACCCTCCGTAGAAACTTTCCAGATCCCAAATCTGACGGCCAGTTGGAGCTGAGGCGGTATGACAGGGAGGGACCACCCCCAGCAGGGTGAAGGTGAGGAGACTGGAGGGCCAGGACACCCACCGGCTGTGAAGACCCATGCCACCAGTGGGGGGCCCAGCCTTGCCCCGCTGCCCTTCACACACAGGCCCAGCTTGAGAAAGGGATGGGGAAGGAAGCAGAGGGTCTGGGCAGCACCACGAGATGGACAGGAACTGCCACAGAGAGAAGAGGCCCCGGCAGTGCGACCGCCGGCCCGACCCAGGACCTGGGGCGCGCTTCTCCCCGCTTTCAAGCCTGCTTCTTCAGTTAGTAAAACGGGGGTAATATCTACCTCAGGGACCTGCCGTGGAGGTGAAAGGAGATGATTACATATCCAAAGCTCCTGGCGCTCGGAAGACACCTGCTACGCAGCCACTACTCTTCCGTGCTGTTCCCGGGAGCACGATGTTCAGCCTCATGCTGTTCCAAAGCCAGTTCCTGTCCATCCATTGATTTCTGAAACAAGTATTTTTTTGAGCTTTGACTCGACTCTGACCTGGACGCTGAGATAAAATGGTGAGCGCAAGCGCCGGTTCCTGCCCTCACAGAGCAGCCTGTTGTGCTGCGGAAGCAGGCACATTGATTTAAAACCCACACAGACATAAAACCGTAATTGAGAGCGTGGTGTTCTGAGCGTTTAACCTAGTCTGGGAAGGCATCCCTGAACAAGCGATCTTTGAGCTGAAATCTGAAGGGCAAGTAAACATTACCGGGTATGGAGGTAGAGCCGTGCTCTGCGCAGAGGGGACGAGGTGTGAAAAAGTCTGTGGTACAGACGGCACTGAAAACAGGCCACGAAGCTGCAGGAGAGACAGACCACCTCCGAGGACACAACTGAAACAAAGCGTGACAAGTGGAGTGAGGGCCAGACACGCTGAGAGTCCCTGGTAGAGCAGGAGCAGGGCCTTAATAAACGACAGTCCTTCTAAATGACTAGGGGAAGGTCATGTGCTTCATGATTTTATTCGGGCTTTAACAGCAGTCCACTCCAGCTCAGTACTTGGGGTGATGTTTGTTTCTCTCCTTTTGTACTTTTCCTTTTTGTTTGCATTGTTTATAATGAGTATTTAGCATTTTCCCCCCAAATAAGAGCTTTTTTCTAAATCAACTTCACTGAGATTGTATTGATATACAGTAAAACACGCCTGTTTTAAGTGAGCCTCCTTATGAATTTTGACAAATTTATACCACCACAGTCAAGACATAGGACATTTTTATCACCCTAAAAAGTCCTTTCCTGGTCAGTGCCCCGACCCTAGCCCAGGACCACTGCTCACCTGCTGTCACTCTATGTTAGATTTGTCTTTCTAGTTTCACGTAGATGATACAGTACAATATATAGTTTCATGACTGTCTTCTTCTGCTCAAGTAATGTTCTTGAGATTTATCCATTCCATTGCATGTATCAGTACTTCATTCCTTTTTATTTCTGAGTAATTTTCCATTATATGGATATACTACAATTTGTTTATCCACTTATCTGTTGAGGAAAATTTGGGTTGTTTCCAGGTATTTTTTTGGAGGGGGTGCATTTCGAATAGAGCTGCTATGAATAGTATGAACATATGTTTTTATTTCTTTTGAGTAAACGCCTAGGGGTGGAATTGCTGGGTCCTGTGGTAAGCATATGTTTAACTTTATAAGAAATTGCCAAGCTGTTTTCCAAAGCAGTTGTACAGTTTTACACTATCACCAGCAGTGGACGAGAGTTCCCGCTGTTCCCTGTCTTCCCCAAAGCGGGGCATTATCATTCCTTTTCATTTTCGCCATTCTGGACGGTGTGCTGGAGTCTCACTGTGCTTTTAATTTGCATTTCCCCGATGATTAATGGTGTCTAACATATTTTCTATGTCTGTTGACCATCTGCTATTGTGAAGTGTATGTTCAAAGTTTTTGCCAATTTTTAAATTAGGTTGATGGTTGTGGTGGTATTGAATTGTAAAAGTGTTATATATTTATTCTGGATACAAGTCCTTTGTCAGATGGTAATGTGACATGTATTATCTCCCCTTCTGTGGCTTGCTTTAAGTTTTTTTTTTCTTTAACTGCAGTATTTAGGTATAATTCACGTACTCTCTGACTTCTTAACAGTGCCTTTTATAAGTAGAATTTTAAAATTTTGGTGAGTTCTAAATTACTAATTTTTTCTTTTCTGGTTCAGATTTTTTTGTGTGTGTTGTAGCTGAGAAGTCTTTACCTTCTCCAAGGCTGTGAAGATTTTTCTCCTACGTTTTCCTCTAGGAGCTTTATAGTTTTAACTTAACATTTGGGTCTACAATCTGTTTCCCTTTCATTTTTGTGTAAGAATGAGGTAAGAGCTGAGGTTCACAAAAGCCTTTTTCCTTTTAAGTCAAGTACTAAACAAAATAGATGGTGAGCTGCAGCTTGAAAGACCGAGTCACAAAGCAAGCCAGAAATGCTCAGTGATTTATTTCCCGGGGTCACTTTATTAGAGACCATCGCGCTGTAAGAGCCAGGGTTTCTTGTGCAAGTGTGTTCCAGGTAGCAGTGCCTTTACTCACACTTCCTGTTTTGTCCATTCATGACTCTTCATTCCCACTACTTAGCTCTGATTAATGCAAAAATGAATTAAAACCTAACACAGTTGGTTAGAGGGAGGGGATGCACTTAACTGAAGGAGGAAAGAGAAAATGTCCCCTGCTCCCTGCAGACACAAGTTCCAGGTGGCCTAGGTGGTTGCCTCTCAGATGTGATTTGATAAGTAAGCCAGAGCTACTTCTGTCAAAAGTATTTCCCAACTGACTTGCCCCGGTGTCCTCATCTCCACAATTAAGAATCAGCGTGAGAGATAAAGCATGCATTAACAGAAACCCCCTGTGAAAATGCCCACAGCCTGACGTGGGGGGGCTGTGGTTTCTTTATCCGACCTATCAGAACTTCCTAGGAAGGAGAAAGTAAGCCCCACAGGGGTAGAGACTGAAGAGCAGGAAGGTCTAGAACAAGGTACAGTGCTCCCACGCTGCAGTCAAATTTGCTGACCTAAAAATCGGAACACAGGGTCTAATAATACATGACATAATTTTCTAACTTGGGAAATTTTTTAAATGGAGACTTTAACAAATGGCTCAGTGTTGAATCATTTCCCTAACTGTCTTTGTTCAGACTATCCCAGAGCATCTTCCATGTCTGGTTGCCACATTCACCAACTCTAAATGGCAACTCTAAAGTTTGGTGGGGAGAACATCAGTGGAAAACCCTAAGTAAGCATCCAGGGGCACTGGGGACTCCAGAGAACTTGGGGCCTACAGGCGTGTGGGACACAGACCTCATCCACTGTCACTCTAAACTAGTGACACAGAAAATGACCCTGGGTAATGGGCACACCCTTAAGAAAATCTGCTGAAGACATTACCTTCCTGGTCATCATCCTCTGAATTCAACCTGTATTGAGCTTTTCCCTTTTGCTGGACTCCCAGGCAGGACACAGATTACATATAGAGACAAATACACACAATTTATTCATTAAAAAGGGGGCAAAATTTCCATAACTCTGGAACGTCAAGCATTCTTTGTTTAGAAGTAGATGTAAGTGTTGGCAGTACTTATTACAAGAGGCACGAAAATTAGGCAGGTTTCACAATGTGGAATGTCCTGTTACGTCAATAGAATTGCTTCAGGAGACATAGTATTTCACAGATCTTTCCTGTAACTTCCAGAAAAGTCAGCCAGCCAGATTTGGGTTCGAATTTCTTTACAAAGCCATTTTCCTATGAGAGAACAAATTTAACATTTTGAAAATCAGTGGAGACTAAGTTTGCTGGAATGAAAAACAAAGAAACGTTCGTTTAAATAATGCAGACAGTCAATCTTCTCTGTACTTTGGTTTTTTATTCTGTTCATCCTCATCATCATTCTCTACCTCCAGTTCCAGACTATTCTAGAGCAAGACTATCCAGTAGAAATACAGTGCAAGCTACATATGTAATCTTATTTTTTTAGTAGCTACACTGTTTAAAGTAAAAAGAGGCAAAATTAATTTTAAAAATATATTTAACTTATCTAAAATGTTATGATTTCACTATGTAATCACTGTGGAAATTTTTGAGCTATTTTACCTTTTTTGTACCAAATCTTTAAAATCCAGTATGTGTTTTGTACTTACAGCACATCTTAATTCAGACTGGATGCATAGCAACTGTTCAGCAGTCACAAGTGACTGGTGGCTGCTAAACTGGACAGCAGAGCTCTAGAGGATAGAAAGTATAGCTCTCTTTTTTTTTGTTTCTCTTTCAGTTATCTGGTATTGAAATACACATTTATGTCTGTAAGCTATATTGTGCTGAGAGTCATGAGGACCTAGCAATAAAGCCAGATTAAATCAGTGCTTCTGAGCCTAAGAAAAGGTTGTAGTTCTATTACAAGCCATTCTCTTTTTGATCAGACACGGTTTTTTCAATAAATATACAAACTGGACACTGTATTTAATTACCTTATGATCTATTTTTATATACCACCCTCACTGAAAAGTACCTCTGAGATCATCCAGCCTAATGCCTTCTCTTATTTTGACAAATGAGGAAACTGAGGCCCAGGAAAAAATGAGTTACCTAAGGTTACTCAAATTGTTAGTGCCTGGACCTGTACTGGAATGCAAACACTGTTCTTTTCACTCCATAAATTTCCAAACAGCCATGAAGAGGATTAGAAAATTGTTTAAATAATTTTTTTTAATGTTCATCTAGTACACATTTGCTCAGCCTCTAGCAAGTTCCATTTCTGGGGTTACACGTGCCTTCAAGTAGTTCACAGTCTACTGTGACTAATACCAAAAGGTAAACCAAGCATATTTCTTTGATAGTTGGAAGAAACTTGAGAACTCTGCAGTGCCTTGGAATTGTCTTTTTGAGCATCACTGGCAACACAGGTTAACAGCAGTCAGGGGAGTTTCCCATGGGAAAGTCTGCACAAGAAAGCCAGCTTCTGCCTCTGTGTGAAGTGTAGAGCCGTGCTTGGAGGCATGATGTCACACCCTAACGAAGGGGACAGACTTCCTTCTCCTCTTCCTCTTCCCCCCGCCTTCACACACACACATTTCCCAGACATTCTAGGTATGCATCCACTTCAGAGCTCCCCTTCTTAGAATTTTCATAAACCCCTTACTAGTAAGGCACTCTAAAATGATTTTCATTATGATCACAATGATCACCACCTATTATGATTGGGCAGCTAGCGTGCAATCTTATATCGTCCAAGTTCTAAATTTAAAGCGTGAACAAAAGAAAAAAACCTGACAAATTTAGCTATATGAAAATTCAAACATTTTTTAAACTCTAAGAAATGAAAATAAGAAGAACAACAAGCTGGGAGAATATTTACATTCACCATGAAAGAGTTCATTCAAATGTAAGAGAAAAATCATCAAGCCCCTGATGGTTAAAAAGGCAAAGCCTTTGAAAAGAGAAAAATAAATCACAAGTATATGGGAAAAACTCCACATTACTAGCAATTAAATAAATTCGCATTTTAATACAATCTTAATTGTTTTTTAGGCATATTAAATTGATCTCGCTATCTTAAGTCTATTAAACTCTCAGAACTATTTATAGTGGTACCACCCAGAGCTGGTATAGTTGTGACATTGTTCCACCAATACACATCTTTTCAAAGCAATATGTATCGCAGTATGTATAAGAAGCGTAATTCTACGAGTATCTGCGAACCAGTCATTCTGTTGTTAGAAAGTAGTCACGAAGCAGTCTTCTAAAATGTGGTGGTGAGGGGGAGCCATCTCCATGTTCAGTACGGAAGCATTGTTTCCAAGAAGGCGGAATGGGAAACAATACAAATGTGTAACAGTTGGGGATTGCTTAAGTAAATTATGATGCATAAAGCAGATGGGATATTCTGTAGACATTGGAAATGTTAAGACGGAACAGGTGAGGCAGGTTGTTAAAAAATCACTCCAGCTGCCCTATGGAGAGCAGACCACAGCAGGGCGAGGGTGGAAGCAGGGAAACTGGTGGGAAGATACTGACAGAGTAGAGTGAGAGGAAAGTGGCCTCAATGTACTGGATGTGCAGTACTTCAGAGGTGCAGCCAACAGAATTTGCTGATGAGCTGGATGTGTAGGGTAGGAGGGAAAGGGGTCACAGATGGCTCCGAAGGTCAGAGAGCTGGCACTTTGAGAGGTTTCCTGAAGGACCCAAAGGGAGACTTGAACCATGTTCCACCTTATGTTTCATTAAATGATTTTTTAAATCTCAAGTTAAAATTCAAAAGAAATATAAGAAGAATTTGACCTCCAAATCTATTTAATCAAAAGATACATATAGAATTCTTGAGACTGTATCACATCACATTGTTATCAGATCTTTATGCCTTGGAAATACCTTTGCCAAACCGAACACTTAGTCAATCATCTACCTGTCTCTGGCTGTCCTTTTATTTGGCCTCAAACTGACCAGACCATTATTTAGAGCAAGAGAATCATACAAAAATAAAACCTACTTTGCCTGACTCTTATGACTCAGGCTTTAATATGGTGAGTTCCCTGGAAAGCAGCAATTCTGACTATACCTCCCTACTTTCAAAAGGGGCTTGCTTTTGGTATTAAAGTAGCTTTAAGAATTACATATTTAAACTTTTTGGAATTTCCCATATAACCTTCACAGTTGTATTTGACAGTTTACACTCTTACAGAACTGTTCTTTAATCTTTTCACCTCCCTTCTAAAGTAGGTATTATTGTCTTCATTATATATTATGTATGTAATTTATATTATATTATATTATATTATATTATGTTATATTATATTCATAAGGAATTTTGAGTCTCAGGTCACTTCAATGACTTAACCAAGATTACACCTCTAATCAATGGGAAAAACCAGAATTCAAGTCTCAGGTTTCAATGCTAGATCATTCAATCATTCCATCAACAAATATTCATTGGCTCCCTTCTGTGCCATGAGCCCTCTGCCAAGCAAGAGGCATTCAGTGGTGCACTAGGTAGACGTGATTCCTCCTGCGCGGAGCTGAGGGCTGAGCGGCCTTTCCGCTGCACAGGCACAGAAGGATGCTTCGTTGAAGAGGGCAGAAGCAGGAAAGCCACCTGGCCATAAAGGAAAGGCAGTCCCACAGGGAGAGGTGAGTTTCATCTCAGTCACAACCTGACAATTCTTAAGAACTGGACTTCCCTCATGAACACCAAAGACTGCTAAAAAAAAAAAAAATGGCACCAGCTCTCCTGTCAGACCTCATGAGAGCTCATCCACTTTCAGCACTTCAAATTGGCAGGGGAGGCAGGAGGAAATAACGTTAAATGTGGAAGAGGAATAAAAAGAGAGACCGGAAGTAGCAAAGGCAAGAAAGAAAGAAAGGAAGGGAGGGAGGGAAGAAGGATGGAGGGAGGGAAGGCAGGAGGGACAGAAGAAAGGAAGGAAAGTAACTCAAGCTGAGAAAAATGAGAAAGAGAATACATTACAAGATTATGAGCCCATTATTGATACACTGGTCTTGTTTTTTCCCTTAGGGCATGTGTTTTACATGGTGACTAACATGTAACTGTAGTTGATGATATAATTTCTGGAGATTAAATCTATTCAGGCAAGTTAGGCAATACTACCACTACTAGTAACAATAGCCCTAAACTTGTAGAGTACTTACTTGCAAAAACGGTGTTCTGGGCACTTTATATATAAAATATTAACTGATTCAACCCTTACATCAGTGCTAGGAGATGGACAGCAATAGTCTCCCCACTTTACAGACGAGGAAACGAGGCTTAGAGAAGTCAAGTGACGTGTTTACATCACATGGTAGTAGCAGGAAATGAACTCAGATCCGTGTGGTTTGGAGTTCATGCTCTTCATACCTCTGCTGCCCTCACATACCACAAGCTTGATCCGAAGCGTTTCCTAAAACCTCTAGGCACACTTAAATTTTAATTAAATTATGGGCATTCTCTAGTTGCAGGTGAAATGTTCTCATTTTCATTATAGGCATGCATCTTTGCCTTGGAGTCAGTGATAAGCAAATATGGATGACTATGGACAGGATAATAGATAGGTGACTTTTTTTTAGTTTTTTTTCAGGAGGGTGGAAAGTGAGAAGTTGGTTCTTATTTCTTGATGAAGTTGTAAAATGCCTCCTCTACTCCTCCCCTCTCCCTGTGGACTACCTGACTCCACTAGCATAGGCGTGTGATTGTACCATTTCCCCTGAAGTGAATCATTCAAGAGCAGGTTCATTCATTTCAGCAGATTTGTCAACATCACTATGCAGGGAAGATGCCAGTTTGCCACGCTGGTATGTACTGATTCAAAAAAGCACTGCCTGTCATTAACAGAGTCAATATCAACCATGAGCTGGGAAAGGAATATTGAGGCTACTTTCAAATGATATCTTAAAGGGTGTTTCTAACATGTCTAAGATCAAAATTATTCAAGTGCAAAAGTCAAGAGCTTAATACCTACATGAGGACTTGGTGAAGGCTGTATGTGTGTGTGTGTGTGTGTGTGTGTTTGTGTGTGTGTGTGTATCTCCACTCCAGATAGGTTCATCCTTGGGGGAGGGTATAGCTCAGTGGTAGAGCATGTGCTTAGCATGCACAAGGTCCTGGGTTCAAACCCCAGTACCTCCATTTAAAAAAAAAGATAGGTTCATCCTGCTATAGTCATACTTAACTCCTCTACCACTCCTGAAAGATGAGTACATGTCTAGACTTTTTCAGAGACAATTCCACACCCTTCACTGTGAGCTCACAAAATTTATTAAGAAGTTAAGTTTCAGTAACATTTATTCACTTTCTGTGTGTTCCAAATTCTGTGCTAGGCACTGGGAATGCAGTGCAAGCCCACACTGAGCTCACAGACTAGAATTCCTCCCCAGGCTCCCACTAGGCCTCTGTGCTCGAGCACTTCTGCCTTCACTTGAAACCTACACAGCAGAGCTGAAATTTCCACCCATCCTTCCATATAGCTTTTCCACAGCAACCAGAAGACGTGACCAAGTCCAGCCCCACAGATTGTGGAGCTGTAGGAAGAAGAGGTGATTGAGAAAGGGGCGTGGTTGCAGTAAGCCCTATCACTGTGCAGAGAAGCCTCAACCAAAATGCAAAAGACATCAAGCAAAACATTAACACGTGTGATTTCATCAACTTTTAAAACATTTATAATGACCGAAGACATCTATTGTTTTAAAAGACAATTAACAAATTTGAAGATATCTGCCATATATATGTAAATAATTTGTAACCAGAATATTCAAAGAATTCTGACAAATCAATAAGAAAAAGGGAAAATAATAGGAAAATGGGCAAAAAACTTAAATAGGCGATTCCCTGAATAAGAATTACAAACGATCAACAAACACATGAAAAGATGCTCAACCTTACCAGTAATCAAGGAAACAGGAATTAAAAGAAGAGAAATTAGGTATATATATTTCACCCAACAGAGCAGGGAAACTAACAGATTGCTCCAGCCGTATGTTAGTCGGCTGGGTTGGAGGAAGCGTGGGATACTCAAACAAGCTGTGACGGGAGTGAAACGTGGTGCAACCACTTTGGAGGGCAAGGATCTACTAAATTTTCAAATGCATGTATACCATAACCCAGCAACTCTATAGCCCAATATCCACCCTAGAAACACACACACACACACACACACAAGGAAGGCATGACTAAAGATATTCAATGACACACTGTTTGAGACAGCTCTGGAATAACTCTGGAAACAACTAAATATCCATCAGCTAGAAATGGCCACTTAACAGCATTTACAAACAACAACATATATGTAGCATCCTTTAAAATACTTTTTAAGATACCCTTGCATGAAAAAAAAGTGGAGTAAGTACCATGTACTATTCTACATATTTATTTCATATGTACCATTTATACATATAAAAGTTATTTTTTACAAAGAAGTGCTATGTATATTTTCTATGGATAAATTCAGTAGGCAAGTTTTGCCTGTAAAATAATTGATAACAGTGTAAAGTAATTGATAATAGCTCTGGGGAGAGGGGAGGGCCAGGATTGGGGGTTGAAGAGAGGATCTATGAGCCATAAGTGCTATAAAAAAGTAGGTATTAAGTGCATTGGGATATTAAGAAAAGCATATCTATCCAGCTGTGCAACGCCCCTTATCAACATGAGTTCTAACATAGGCCCCCTGCATGGTCTTGGCTTTTTGAGGCATTGATAATAAAGTGAATTTTTATTGGGAAATTCTGGAATTAAGTTTCTTGCTGATGCTGCAATACATTATTTTTTTTAATCACCAAGCGTTAACAGCCAGAATTTGTTACATTAGAAAACTGAAAAAAAAAATCAATTTGTAAGCAGTGAACTTGCAAGAATTTACACCTGTCTTTTACAACATAATAAATACCTAAGTATAACAGCGTCTAATGCCAACTCTTTCCGCACTGATTCTACACTGTCATGACAACCCTCACAAGAGCTAAGTCCTAGACTAGACTCTGATTCTGAAGATGCCTTAGGGAGGTTCTCTATTAATCCCCAAACCTCACTCCAGCAGTTTACACTGTTAGGAATGAAAAGTGGAACCACAGGTATTTTCCAACTATAAAGGTCTAGAATTCATTGGAAATGAACCAGAAATTTCTTTTTAAAAAAAAATTTAAAACTTCTAAAACAAACCACCCAAAAGAAATACAATCCTTAGGTAGTTTTTGGGGGGGGTTTTTTGTTTTGTTTTTGTTTTTTTAGCAAGGAAACTGTTGATTCCTATTTCAAAGTAAAAAAGAGTGAAGAATATTCCCTTTGCACATACCCAGCCTCCGTTTTGCCTTATCCATTCGCCTGTGTTTTTCGTTATGAACTCCGCAACAAAGTAAGAAATCTTGTAAGTGTCCACATCTGGGGCAATTCGTTCTCGAAGAAGTTTCTTGATGAGAATACCTTCAAATGCAAAGATGGTCACAATCCTTCCCCAGTTAATGATGCCATCTTCAAATTCCTTTTCCATCACTTGATTGAATATTGTCCTGGCAGTGTCTATGGACACGACATCAAAATTATCCAAGCATGGTTTCAAATTCTTTTCAACTTCATTTTGGACTGAGAAAGCCACGTCTTGTAACACTCTGGATGTTTTGCTTGAACCAGATCCAGGCTGTGGTATCTGCAGCACGTACCTCAGATAGTCCTGGGCCAGCATGTGAATATATCCAAACTCGCCGTCAGTCATGGTCTTCCTGCTGGAGAGCCAAGCCTTGAGCTTACTCGCCTGGAAGTGACCGAGGCAGTCCGAAGCGAAAGCTCACAGAGCTTGGCAAGGTATGACACACGATGTCGTCTGGAGGCTGGTGGAATTTCTGTTTGCATCACTTGGTAGTATCCTTCCTCCTTGTTGCTTTTGTACACAGGCTGTGTGTGAAAGAGAAAGTTTAAAATGTGACAGAGGAAAATGTTTCAGAGAGAGGCCACTTCCTCATCCTGTATGTGATTAATTCAGTTTTAAAAGTCTTAAACTCAAGGATGTGTAGAAATTAGAACCCTCATACATTGCTGGTGGGGTTGCAATACGGTGCAACCCCTGTGAAAAGTTTGGCAGGTCCTCAGAAGTTAAATATAGAATTACTGTAGGACCCAGCAATTCCACTTATAAGTATATACCACAAGAACTAAAAACAGGTGCTCACACAAATACTTATACAAATGTTCACAGAAGCACTACTTACAACAGCCAAACGGTGGAAACCACCCAAATGTTCAGCAGATGAATAGATAAACAAATTGTGGAACCTTATTCAGCCACAAAAAGGAATGAAGTGCTTATACATGTTACAGCATGAATGAACCTCAAAAACATGATGCCAAGTGAAAGAAGCCAAACAGAAGAGACCATGTACCGTCTGACTCCATCCGGGTGAAATGTCCAGAATAGGTAAATGCCTAGAGGCAGAAAACGAACTGGTGATTGCCGGGGGCTGAGGGGAAAGGGGAGGAACTGGGTTTTGTTTTGTGATGAAAATGTTTTGGAACTACAGAGGTGGTGGCTGCACAACATTGTGAAGATACTAAATGTCACTGAATTGTTCACTTTAAAAATGGGTCATTTTACGTTATGTGAATTTCAACTCCAAGAAAAAGCCTTAAGTGCAGCCCAGTGGCTACACCGAAGTAATGAAAATTTGGAACAGAGATTAGTAAACAGCGCAGAAACGGGGGTGAGGGCCTCTCGAGTTTTGCTCAGGAAGTGCTGTCCTTGATGCTTTGGCCCTGGAGTAGGAGGATGTCGGGGAGGGGAGAAGAAAGTATCTCCTTTGTTCCTCATTTCCCATTTACCCTAGAACTTTGAACAGAAAACGAAATCCTGCTTTAAACCAATGCCTCTAATTCCTGTTCTTGAGTCAGCCAAATTGTCCCATGCATGGATAGAAATTGGGGGCCAGAGAGAACACTAGACTTGGAGTTGGAGGACCCAGCCTCTGTCTTACCCAAATCCCCCTTCCCTTACTCACTCTGTGCCCTGGGTTTGTAAAATGAGACCATACGCTTTGACTTCAGAGGAGTGAGGCATGACCTGTGTAGCACGTCTCACCATGCCTGGCACGATGTGGGGGCTGAGTCAGCCCTGGTTCCTAGTTCCTCATCATTCATTTACAGACCAATAACCAGTTGGCTTCCTGGTGAGGGCATAACTTTGTAAGTGCGGAGCTTGAAGTGAAGTGCAAATCTGTCCTTTACTTAGCTTTGGCACCAATTCTGGGAAACAGTTGGCAGACAAGGTGAAATTACTGGCTAAGAGGAACATTGGGGATTTGGGGTGGATTTCAAGTCTCCTTCCCGGAGTACATGGCAGTTAAGGCACTTAGAGACCCACGTCCCTGTCTGCCAGCTGCATCGTTCTGGTGACTGAGGAGCCAGTGTCGCCAGTAGGCAGAGTAGTGGGTGGAAGAAAGGGGAGACAATTGAGGGTCCCTAGAGAAACTGAATTCACTTTTTTTTCTATCCACAGGTGGAGTAACTTTGACTCTTTGCAACAGTGTCTATGAACAGCTGCAAACAGAAGGGAAAAAAATCTCATGTAACTTGTATTTCTGAACTATCAGTAAAGGTCTAAGGAGGAAGGGAGAGAGGCTGCTGAGGGTGCTGGTTCATAGGGACTTTCAGTGGCCATGAAAATGCACCTCTCAGACCCTGTACCACAGGAATGTCATTAACTCAGGGCCCCAGGTGCTGGGCCCTGGATCTACGGACAAAATTTGCACTGAGGCCACGCCACCCTCAGGCTGTCCTCAGGCAACGACTTAGCAAGGCAGGACTAGTAAGAGCGGTTCCTGTAAGTCAGCCTCCTTTGCAAGGTTACTTTGATTCAATGACTTGCCATCAGCGTTGTGGTGACTTTTCTAGACTGTCCTACAGCCTGAGACTCTTCCTACCCAACCTTCCTTCCTTCTCTCCCTTCTTCACCCAGGTCAGCCCTGCACTGTGGTCTGACAGCTCCCCCAGCCGCTTCCACCTCCCTCCCCATTTTCCCTCATGGGCATTCCCCCACCCCCACCCCACAATGGCTCTTACACATCTGATCCTTGCTTGAGATTTTCTTGGTGGAGTTCTAAACTGACATGGGACCTACAGAACAAAGGAGCTTACAGACATGTGGGCAAGCCACTTCTCCAGGATTTCCCCTGAGAATGCCCTCCCCTCCCCTCCCCTCCCCTCCTGGACGACGCCTGTTGGCCCACAGGCACATGAAGCCATGTGCAGGCAGCTCTCTCTCCTCAAATTACCTTCAAGCATCATAAGAACCACCAGAAGGATGGGAAATTTTATTTTCTCCCCCCATTACATTCCCAGGGTGATGAGCATTTCTGGAGAAACAGTGTAGCAAGCATGTGGATTAAGAGTTGCAACGAAGCCTTCCAAGATCAGAGCCTGCCTTTGTTCTCTCTCTTGCCAGTGCCCATGCCTGGACCTAGGGGAGGCAGGCAGTTGATCTTTGTTGAACAAATGAAATGCACACGTATCGCAGCTGGGCCAGCTACATTTAGGGCTCTATATTCCTAATCCTCCGGATCCCAAAAGGAGTTGCTTTTAAAATTCTTAAATATTGAAGCCTGCTTTCATTTATTTTGGAGAGTTTCCAAACTTTTCAAGGATAGGTGAAAGAGAGAAACACAAAGCTTTTCCCAAAAAGAATTATTTGTTTGCGTATAAAGTGCGAAAAGACTGGAGCGGGGTGTGTTGGGGTGGAGGGCAGTGTGGGACAGGGACAAGTAGCTGACCACAAACTGGGTGTGAAGACAGAGGGAAGTATCCTTTCTCAGTGCCACTGTAACCCGGGTCTGCATTCAGCAGGGTCCAGGATTCAGGCCATAAGGACCAGGGTGTGGTTCCCCAGCCCCTGAGCAGCTGTCTGTCATGAGGAACTCTGTCATGAGGAACTTTGTATGAAATTAGAGGTTCACTCGAGTACAGTCTGAGGGAGTCATCTAGAACGGGTGGGGTCTGGACACCATGTGTGTAGAGCACGCATTCTGCCCCTAAAGAAGTTTTAGTCTAGGAGGAACGATGCCCTATTATGGGCAGTCAAGGGAACTTCAGAAGGAAATAATTAGAGAAAGTTGCTGCAGTATAGCGTCAAATGTGGGGGTCTTTCCTGGAATCCACTCTAGGGCCATGGAGCCAGGCTTGTGGTCACATAAGAATCCTGAGCTTCTGAAATGCACATGGATGACACTGATCTGTTACGGACTGAGGGGTGCAGACGTGTTGGGGAAGGGGGTGACAGCAGAAGATGATTTTCCAAATCTGTCCACACCTAACAAGCACCGACCGCCTGACCAGGCTTTCCTCTACACTCATTGTGTCCAGAGTTTCTACTGAAGACGCATGGAGTCTTGGCTAGGGCTGAGCGAACCACTAGGATTTGTCATGAGCATCAGGAGAGTATAAATCGTCCTGATCACTAATTGACAGCTGCTTCCATTTATAAAGTACCTTGGGCTGCACTGTTGGCAATTATTATTACCTTCCTGCATGTGAGCTACAGCCTCGTGTCTGGTCACGGCGCTTACATAAACGACCGCATCTTTACACACGTGTTCCAGTTACCTACTGCTTTCTAACAATCAGCCCCCCCAAACCTGGTGGCTTAAAACAATAATTATCTATTTCGCTCATGAATGCGAAACTTGGGCAGGGCCCAATTTAGATGACTGGTCCCTGGAGTTTAGCTGGAATGACTCAAACAGCTGGAGCTACAACAGCTGGGCTTGGCCGGGCATCTCACTTAGTGTCATCTCAGGAACCTTCTGTGTGGTCTCTCCAGTGTGGCAATCTCAAAGTGGTCATACTTCTCACGTGGCGGCTCAAGGGCCCAAGAGCAAGTGTTCCGGAGACAAATGCAGGAGCTGAATGGCCTTTTATAGCCCAGCTTTAGAACTCACAGAGGATTGTTTCTAATCATACTCTATTGGTGGAAGTCGTTACGCGCCTGCCCAAATTCAAGGAAAGGAAACGCAAACACTGTGATCGCTAAGAGGACTGTCAAGAATTTACAGCCATGTTTTAAAACTGCCACAGTGTGCAACTCCCATGCAAGGTCACTCAACATACACAATTGTGTACAATTTAACCAATGTCATCCCCACATAATCCTTCAGATTGGTAGGGCAGGGAGGCAACTCCAGTCTCAGGGTGACCCAGGAGATACTTCAAAGCCATCCTGCTCCCCCCTGCTCCCCCCAGGCTACAGCAGGGCTGAGCATCATCTGGATTTTACCCTCTGAAGACAGAAGTCTTCTAAGTGGGTTGAGGCATGACCGCCTGGAGAGGATCTCATTTAATCTCCCTCCTGATGGCAGCGATCTCACTGTAGCATTAGTCCACCCCAGCTCTGACCAAGGAGCAGAAAGCAATGACTGGCAAAGGTTAAGGTTTGATGGGAAATATGAGGGAAGACCATGAGGCTACCCTGGCTGAAGAGTGGCCAGAGGAATCCAGGCTCCAGGACCAGGGTCCTGAAGTGACCACAGAGAGAGGCTGCTGAGGTCAACTTCTCTTTTCCCCAAAGGCAGAACTTGGGCGGAAACTTACTGGGCTTTTGGCTACTTCAGAGGAGGCGGCCCAGGGGAACTCCCACCCTGGTTTAATCTTTAGGTCTCTGAGCTTATCATGACTACTTCCCCTTTCCAAGGCTCTGGTGGGGCAAATTCTCTGCAGCGAACAATGGTCTTCGGCGGGAACACAAAAAGGAGGGGGAAGCCACCTGCGTGCCGCCCTGTCATTTCCCTTGGTCCAGTGGGTCCAAGCCTTGATCAGAAAACACAATAGAGGCAAGGCCACTCTCCGTCAAGAAAAGCCAGTGGCCCAGTGTGACAGGGCCCCCGGTGGGAGCTTGGTTCCTGTCTGAGGAGACT